TTCTCTAGCAAGTACCATTCCTTGCGATGGAGTCTTGCTCTGTCACCCAGGCTGGAGTGCAGCTCGATCTTGGCTCACTGCAACCTCTGCCTCCTGGGTTCAAGTGATTCTCCTGCCTCAGCCTCCCAAATAGCTGGGACTACAGGTACCCGCCACCATGCCTGGCTAATGTTTGTATTTTTAGTAGAGACAGGGTTTCACCAAGTTGGTCAGGCTGGTCTTGAACTCCTGACCTCAGGTGATCCACCTGCCTCGGCCTCCCAAAGTGCTGGGATTACAGGCATGAGCCACCATGCCTGGCCTCTTTACCCCCATTTTTATGGCATGGCCGAATAAGGGAGTGGGGAGAGAGGTGAAGCAGCTGGAAAGTGAGGAGAGAAGGCTCACAATCCTGTAGACAGCCAGCATCATTTGACTGCAGCTTCCAGATGACTGTTTGGTTTCATTCCACTGAAATCCTGGCACTTTTACTTGGGTCTTGTGGTCATTTAAGGTCATTTAAACCTATCTCAACCCAGATGCAGAGAAGACTATAAACAGTCAGGAACACAGGAAGCTGGTCAAGATAATAGATAAGGCAGGTGGCGGGGAAGGCCTTGGCAGGGCACGGTGGCTCATGCCTGTAATCCCAGCACTCTGGGAGGCCTAGGCTGGAGGATCACTGGAACCCAGGAGTTTGAGACCACCCCGGGCAACATCGCAAGACCCTGTCTTTACCATATCCAGCAAATTTTGTTTATAAATACAATTATAAACAAAATTATAATTACTTATAAGTAAAATTAGCCGGGAATGGTGGCACGTGCCTGTAGTCCCAGCTCCTCAGGAGGCTGCAATGGGAGGATCACTTGGGCTCAGGAAGTCAAGGCTGAAGTGAGCTATGATCATGCCACTGCACTCCAGCCTGGGTGACGGAGTGAGACACTGTCTTAAAAAACAAAAATTAAAAACAGAAGGAAAGACCTTAATCCCATGAGCAACTATAACCATTATAATAGAGGATAGTTTTATGGCTATAATTCTTTGGGAAACTTCCACTGCCAGGTGGCCAAGCACTGTGAAGTTCTCGAATTGAACTTCAGGTTGAAAGATATCTGAAGGAACTCTTGGAGACCCGTTCTCTTAATTTAAGGATGAGGCACAGAAGGTGTCATTGCTGAAGTCAAAGTCTCACAGCAAGTCATAAAGGAGGCAGAATGCGAGGCTCAGTCTGCTGAGTCATAATCCAGTGACCTTCCTTCGGGTTGCCTGCACGCATTTCCTCACTCGCTCCTCAATTCAGCACAGTCCAGCCTTCCTCCAGGAATACAATTTTGCCCTCATCGTGAACTATCTGTAGTCTCACTCATTATTTGGCTTATTCAGTCATTTTGCAGCTATATATCTGGAACCCAGCATGTGCCAGGGGCACGACAGGAACATGACAGATCCAGCCCCTGTCCCAAGGTGATCATGATTTGCTTCAATTCCTCACTGCAACCACGCTTCAGGGATTCAGTCTCCCCCCTCAGAAAGAACTGCTTCTCTCCCTACTATGAGAGATGCTTTACTTTCACAGTGAAAGCATTCCTATTAATGTTGCTATGAGAGAAAAACAAAACACAACAAAACAGGAGACCTAGTTTATGGTAGACTTAGTGTCTAAAGATAGTGAATTGGCTTTGGATTTTAATCAAGCTTTCAGGCTGTAATAACAATTGAATTGCAGATGTCCCTATGGTTTATTTCACAGAATGACAGTTGAAGGTGGCCTCCGTATTTTTTTACAATAGCTATAAATGCTGCTCACCCAAAAAGCTGTTTGCTAACATCAACTTTTTAAGGGATGTAGTCACTATTAATCCAAATGAAGCCCTAAAAAGCTGTGGCTACACTGGAGCATTCAAGGGGGTTAGCTATGAGAAGGTATGACTCCAGCAATGAAGTTATATAATCAGCAAGAAAAAAAAAAAATTCCAACCCCGACAGCTTAGAAAGATTTTCTGCTGTTCTTTCTTAGAGGAGGTTTAATCTGGCCTAAGTCTAAGAAGATTTGTCTCAAATTGACAATGCAGGCTTAAATAGTTTATTATTTTAAAAGGTGATATAACCATTTTCATTCTTCATTGACTTCTGAGTTCTTTTCTCAATTTGTAATTATTGCGACGTTGGAGAGATTATTGGCATAGATAGCTTTTCCAATTCCCTCATTGTTATGTTTTCAAATAGGAATAAAAGAAAAGCAACCAGCAATGACTCCATGGGAAAGGAAATCCAAATGTGTGAATCCCTGTTTCCTTTGGAAATAAGAATCAGTGTTTCTGACATTGAAAATAGATTTCTGCAGCAAAGTGTATCATTTACAAAGATTGTGACTCAGGATGAAGAAGGTAGACAGATTATATTAATTTAATTGTACTTGTTCTTGGGGAAGCATTGTCAGTGGGTGAGATTTTCAAATCACCTACGCGCAGAGTATACAGGAGATACAGAATAAATTATTTTTACAATCAAGAAGCAAAGTTAACTTTAAAAATAAAGTTTTGGCCAGGGTGGTGGCTCATGCTTATAATCCCAGCACGTTAGGCGGACAAGGCAGTAAGATTGCTTGAACCCAGGAGTTCAAGACCAGCCTAGGTAACATAGTGAGACTTCATCTCTACAAAAACCTTTAAAAATTAGCCAAGTGTGGTGGCATGTGCCTGTACTCCCAGCTACTTGGGAGGCTGAGGTGGGAGGATCACTTGAACCTGGGAGGTGGAGGTGGTAGTGAGCTGAGATTACACCACTGCGCTCCAACCAGGGCAACAAAGCAAGGTTCTGTCTCAAAAACAATAAATACAAACTAAGAAGGTTTTAAGGGTGAGAGATAGCTGGACCATCATAAATGCTAGTAATAAAATTCCTAACTCTGTGATGATGTGTTTGGGGAAGTAGCGAGTTGAAGTCATGTAAAATGTACCATGGTTCTTTAACCCACTTTGAAACTAAAGTTGAACACATATTTCCAATAACTGGGTTTCATTAAGAAATACAGAATGAAACATGTTAAGGCAATTTTCTTTCTTTCTTTCTGTTTCTTTTTGGCCTGAGGAAGTACAGGAATTTAGGATCAAGTATGGTTTACCAATGACATTTTAAAATGAGGCCGGGCACGGTGGCTCAGGCCTATTATCTCGGCATTTTGGGAGTCACAGACAGGTGAATCTCTTGAGCTCAGGAGTTCGAGACTGCCCTTGGCAACACAGGGAGACCCCATCTCAAAATATATATATATAAAATAATTGAACATATACAAGATGAACCCAATTAAAAACAAACAGACTTACCACATGCCATCTCTTCTACCTGATTCCTAAGGTGAAAAAGGGCCAAGGGGGGCCCCTGGAGAAAGAACGACTATAAGACGTGCAGAGTGACAACAGGGTCTCCACACACACTCTTCTTTCCCTTTAAAAATTCCCCCCTTTCTCGGCAGTGTTCTATAGCAGAAGGAACAGTATTGAAATACCCCAAAATAAGTTTAGAAGTTGAGTCTGAAGAGAGACACAGCATGGATTCCTCAAATGGGTACCTCGGAAAGTCCATGTTATTTCAGGGCCTAACTGAGGCATCCATGCTTGAATATTTCTTTTGATTGTCATTAGAAATCTCCTGGATTTAGTTAAGTATTCTCTCTTTATCCCCTGGCACTCGCTGTAGACTAATGATGTGCATACTTGACACAAAATCTCCTAACACATTTTGCTTCAGTAACTTCCTAGTTAAAAATTTATTTCATTTTCTTTACTGGGGCCAAGGTACAGTTTTACTATTTGACTGTGAAAAGTCTGTATTTTACCAAAAAACAAGGAGCAATTTTTAAGATAATAAACCCACAACTTGTGGCAGATTTGTAAATGTATCAAATGTGCAGAAAGCAGAGGCAGATAGTAATTCTCATAATGACATTGAAAGCAAATGACAATTGTTTCCCTGAAGGCATCCTGGAGTATGAAAATGTCCTTAAAAAATACATGTTCCCTCTTTGATGTACACTTGTGATAGAATTTCTAATATGCACAACGATGAAAACTTGCCCCATGTATTTTTAAAACAAATAAATAAAACCAGGTAACCAAAGGGGAAAGTAAACAGCATTTTCTTTCACTTAACTGCTTTCAAACTTTTCTTGCTGTTATTTTATCATTCAATATGGTTTTTTTGTTTTGTTTTGTTTTATATCTAGGCTGTGACAAACATTAAAAAAAAAAAACATGGAAACCCCTCTGAAAATAGAATTCCTTCCTTTGTTATCAGGAATCTAGGATAAAGTAGATGTAAGGAGACATACGGATTACCTTACAGGCCTTTTGGAATACCCAGTGTGACTCCAAAGGAAAGAGTGGAAGTGGCTGCATTGTTTTAAAAGCCAGTTTCCATTTGCCATCATTTGCCAGTTCCAATCTATCAATGGCATATTCCATATATATGTGTGTTATATATGTGTGTGCATGTATATGTGTATATACATTCATATAGATACCTGTGTGTTATATATGTGTATGTATAGATACACATGTGTGCATATATATACACATATAGATACCTCTGTGTGTGTGTGTGTGTGTGTGTGTGTGTGTGTATAGAGAGAGAGAGAGAGAGGAAGAGAGACAAGTTTAAATCAATGAGAACGTTTCCTATATAGAGGTGATGACCCCTCAAGATTCCTCCATGACTCAAGGCAAATTGAAACTGACTTTTAAAACAATCTAATCACTTCCACTCTTCCCTCTGGAGTCACACTGGGTATTCCAAAAGCCCCGTAAGGTTATTCTTACATCTTCTTTGCCAAATAAAATAAATAATGTCATTCTTTCAGCCAATACTCATACACCCCATCCTTCCTAGGCAAATCGTGGCACTGTGATTAAGCACTCAGTCTTCAGAGAGTTAACAACCAGCCATAGACAGCTACTTCAGCACAGCTGGAGGGGGAAAGTACATTTTACCTCCACCCCAAACAAAGCCATTATATTTACCTGCTACTTTGAAGATAGTAAAATGCGGTCGGCAATGGAAAGAACCCAACGCGTTACCTGCGCAGTTCATCCATAGACCCTGGTAAACCCAAGTGGCTGTTATCACCGAGGAGGCTCGCGTGGTCACTTTCCACTCATTGGACGTGGTAGCAGCAACGAGAGCTCCAAACCCTCCGACACCAGACACCAGAGCCCAGATCTGCGCCCTGGACATGTCGCGCCGCCTTCGCCAGTGACACTGTCCGGACAGAACGCTTTGGTGGTCTAGGCATGCAGCCGATAGAGAACACTTTGACAAGCGTCACAGCCAGCGGATGTGGGTAGGTGACAGCGTTTCATGCTCGGATGGCCTGAGGAAGTACAGGAATTTAGGATCAAGTATGGTTTACCAATGACATTTTAAAGATGGCCCGAAAGAGTCGTTCTGATTTTCTACACGGATATTTATTAAAATTTCGTAGATGAATTTTAAGGGTTTTGATTTCGCAGATTTTTTTTTAACTTGCCACCATAGTTAATGCTTAATTTTCTGTTAGCCTGAAGCTTAACGAACCGTGCAACTACCAGATATTACAAAGTACAAATTATACAGTAACAGTTAAGGCTTATTTGATCAATTGCTTTAGTCTCACCTGCTTTTGAATCTTTACATAATTGAATCATATTGTGGAAATTCTCCTATAACCTATTTTTTTTTTTCACATAACACTGAATTTGAGGGATTTATCCATGCTCAGGAACGTAGTTGTCATTCATTAACTATTACAGCTGAATATAGTATTTCATTAAATGCAATTTAAGGAACACGATTTATTCATGTTCCTGGAGCTGAACATTCGTGCTGTTCCTTTTCTCCCTAATAACCATTGGCGCAGCTATAAACATTCTTGGGCATTTCTTCTTGTGCATGTGAGTGAGAGTTTCTCTAGGGCATATCCTAGAATCAGAATTTTGCTAGGATGTAGGAAACACTCATCTTTAACTTTATAGACAATGCTAAATTGTTTGACTAAGTAGTTACAGCAATTTAGAGTCCCACTAGCAGTGGGTAAGTCCTCCGTGTTCCGCTTCATAACACAGTACCTGTTGGGTTGTTGAGACTGTTATTTTTTCTTTTGGCCAGTCTGATGGGTATAAAGGTGTCACATTATGATTACTAATTTATATTTTCTGATTACTAAGGAGGTTGAGCATCTTTTTGTGTGTTTATTGGTTATGTTTTTGTCTACAATGAAATATGCAACTTTTGCTCACCTATCTATTGAGTTGTTTGACTTTTTATAACTTATTTTCAGTTATCTATATACTCAAGATAGTAATCTTTTGTGGATTATTTATGTTGCGGGTATCTTCCCCCAGTTTGTGGTTTCTCTTTATGTGGCCATTTGAGAAACAGTCTTGGTTTTAATATAGCTAAATTTATCAAGTTGCAAGAAGTGATTTGTGGTTTGAGATCTTGATTAAGAAATCCCTATCTTGGGCCTGGCATGGTGGCTCCCACCTGTAATCCCAGCTCTTTAGGAGGCCAAGGTGGGAGGATCACTTGAGGCCAGGGGTTTGAGACTAGACTGGGCAACATATTGAGACACTGGCTCTATAGAAAATACAAAAATTAGCTGGGTGTTGTGGTGCAGGCCTGTGGTCCCAGCTACTTGGGAGGCTGAGGTGGGAGGAGGATGGCTTGAACCTGTGAGGTCAAGGCTTCAGTGAGCCATGATTGCACCACACACTCCAGCCTGGGTGACAGAGCTGAGACCTCGTCTCAGAAGAGAAAAGAAAAGAAAAGAAATGAAATGAAAAAAAAAATGAAAAAAGAAAAGAAAAGGAAAAAGGAAAAAAAAGAAAAAGAAAAAGAAATCTCTATCTAAAAGAAAATAACTTTTTTCCTCTTCACTTCAAAAAACTTCAAACTTTTAACTTACATATTTAAGTGTTTAAATAATCCAGATTGATTTTTCTGTGTCATGTGATTTGGGACCTATTTTATTTTGCAATGTGGAAATCCACTTTTCCAATTTTCTTGTGTAGTCCCTTGTTTCTCTATTGATCTGCAATGTTACCTCTGTCATACATATTGGGCATCAATATTCACATGATCTGGTTTTGGATTCTTTACTCTGTTCCATTTATCTGCTTGACTGTTCCTAGGCCAGTACAATACTTTCTTAACTACTCTAATTTTATAAATATATCTCAAAATCTTGTTGGTGAGTGTTTTACCTTGCTTACCTTGCTCTTCTTTTTCAAGCATGTTCGGATTTTTTTTTTTAGCTCTTTGCTATTTCTTATATATTTTTATTTATTTATTTATTTATTTATTTAGAGACAAAGTCTCACTCTGTTGCCCAGGCTGGAGTGCAAAGGCGCAGTCTTGGCTGACTGCAACCTCTGCCTCACGGGTTCAAGTGATTCTCGTGCCTCAGCCTCCCAAGTAGCTAGGACTACAGGTGCCCATCACCACACCCAGCTAATTTTTGTATTTTAGTAGATACGGGGTTTCACCATGTTGGCCAGACTGGTCTCAAACTCCTGACCTTAGGTGATCCACCTGCCTGGGCCTCCCAAAGTGCTAGGATTACAGGCATGAGCCACTGTGCCTGGCCCTTATGTATTTTAGAATCAGTTTATCAAATTAGACACATACACATACATATAGATTGGGAGGTTTGTTGGAATTGTTTTGCACCTATTATTCAGTTTGAGGAAAATGGATAGCTTTATAAAATCAAGTCTTCCTGTTCATGAACATCATATATCTCTTCATTTATTTAACCCATCTTTAATGCTTTTAGTGAAGTTATATACTTTAATCTCTAAAAATAGTTACTTTTTTGTTATATTTATTCTTAAAGTTAGGACTCATTCTAACATCTATTTTGTACTTACAGTTTGTTCAGTTTTTTTCTTGAGTACACATATAGTTTTTCTCCTTTCTTGAGTTGTTTTGAAATTGGGACCTTTTTTCACATTTCAATTTTTCTCTCCATTAAATCGGAAATTACACTTTATTTGCATTGTTTAATGATTACTAATAGAAGCTTTAATGTATATTTAGCTTAATATATAAAAGTAATTGGCCAGGTACGGTGGCTTATGCCTGTAATCCCAGCACTTTGGGAAGCCAAGGCAGGTAGATCAGCTGAGGTCAGGAGTTCGAGATCAGCCTGGCCAACATGGCGAAACCCCCTCTCTACAAAAGTACAAAAATTAGCTGGGCATGATAGCAGGTGCCTGTAATCCCAGCTGCTCAGGAGGCTGAGGTGGAAAAATCACTTGAACCTGGGAGGCAGAGGTTGCAGTGAGCTGAGATCATGCCATTGCACTCCAGCCTGGGCGAGAGAGCGAGACTCTATCTCAAAAAGAAAAAAAAAAAATCATCATCTCAATAGATGCAGAAAAGACCTTTGATAAAATTCAATACCCCTTCATGCTAAAAACTCTCAATAAACTAGGTACTGATGAAACGTATCTCAAAATAATGAGACCTATTTATGACAAACCCACAGCCAATATCATACTGAATGGCCAAAAGCTGGAAGCATTCCC